GATTTGCAACGAATGACCTTCCTTCCCTAAAACCAAATTAATTATATGATATCATATCGTGTTTTTTTCAGGTACTTCAACCCACTGTTATATCCTTTTCAATACCTTGCATAATATACTAGTTAACGAAACTAGTCTACAATTCAGAGGGTATTGTTTGTCGCCGTTCTTGTATAAAGGTGTAACATTGGCAAGTTTCCAATCTTTTGGTAGTTTTCCTTGTCTCACTGAATTTTGGAATATTAACAGTAACGGAGTACATTAATTCCCTTAGAAGCCAGTTAGATTCTCATCTGGTCCATCTGCTTTAGTTCTGTCAAACACTTTTAGTACGTCTTTTATTTAATTCTTTTTGAGTGTGATATTTTCAATATTCTGGTTTACGTTTGTACGGTTACTTGCCATTTCAATGTATGGGTCCTGAACAAACACTGATTGAAATCTTTCATTAAGGATTTCACATATTTTCTCCTCCTTAGTATAAACCATGGCGCTAATTTGATACTTTTAGTGTTACTATTTATGTAGTTAGAGAAGAGCTTTGGTTGGTTTGTACATTTATTGATTATATCCTTTTCAAGTCTATTTTCGCCTCCCTCATGGTTTGGGTATACTCATTTCTTCCTACTCTATACCTTTCATACGCTGCCTGGGAGCTATGTCTTCTGGACCTTATTCAAAGGAGCAGTTTGTTTTCTCTCATTTTCTTGCATTTATCATTGAACCACTTTTGGCCATTTCTTGCTTCAGTTTTGAATCTTGATGCAATTTTTTCTACTCCTTGTTTATACACTTCGCTAAATTTAGAATATTGCATATCAAGGTTCTCTGCGTTCATTAGGTTTTCCCAGTTGATGCCATCAAAGAAATCTTTAAGGCTTCTTTAACTACCTGTCTTGTAATTGTACTTTCCTTTTCTTTCCTTACTTAAGATATTTTTTTTTCCTGCAGCAGACAGTATTTCAACTTAATTACTACATGATCACTTTTTTCCTAGAGAAGGGCAGTACTCCTTAATGTCATCTTTATGCTTTGTGAATATTAGGTCAAACATAGACGGTCTATCTAGTCCTCTTATCCTGGTATGATCTGTTACATTCTGGAAGAGACAACATTCATTTATAACTTCTGGTAATTTTGCATTCCACAATTCTGGCATAGCTCCGGGATCGAAACTTTCCCAGTCAGTTTTGCTATTAAAATCTCCTGTTACAAGAATTTCTTTTGCATTAGTTTCCGAAAGTTGTAGCACTTCTTCCAGGCTCTTTAACGTTTCATGAATAAGTTTTTGGTAATTTTCTTGTAACCACACCGATCTATGAGGTGGCACGTACACTGTAGTTATTATTATATTTACTCCGTTTGTTTCTACCTCAAATGCCTTTAGTTCAACTATAAATCTCTATCTCCTTTATGATAATGCCTTCCCTTGTTAATATTGCTACCCCCTCCATTTCCATTTGCCCTATTTTATCTCCAAATATTGTAGTCTCTGAGTCCTAAAGTTGTATTCAAGTTATGCATATTACATTTGGTTTATTACTTTCAGTTATATTCAGTTCTAGTAATATCGAACATAAACCATCTATATTTGTATAAACTATATCTATATAATTTTTCGTTATTCCTTTTGGCTGCAATGCTAATGATTGTCTGCCTCCACATTTTGGTTCCGATAGTAAACTTGTTTTGCTTGGAGGCTTCTAAACCTAAAAATGATGAACAAGAATTTTTCTTCAGTCCTTTGTTCGTTTTTGTTTTTTACCTCTTCCATTTTTCTGCACTATTTCTCTGTCATCTTTGGTCATATTTTCTCTTATCCAGATTTTCTTATATTCTTTGTGTGTGGCCAAGACTTTCGTTTTCTTTATTACATCAGTTACCATTTGCTTATTCATGAATGTCACTTTTAAAGGGCATTTCTTTCCATTTTCAAGAATTCAGGATTTGTGACCTTAGGAATATTGGCAATCGATCCCTTGCCTTCGTTGTATTGCTCGAGTCCATCTTCTAGAACTTTTTCTTCGTGTCCTAATATGACCTTGTTTACATCAGCCACATTTGCAATATTCCTTGCGTGTTGCCCAAGGTGTGACTTAAATTCATTTTCCTATACCGTCTCTGCAAAGTTGTGTCTTTATTTCTTCCTTTGTGATCTCGATGTTTTTTTCTTATTTTTTCCCCATTTCATTTAGTTTCCTTTGCTTTAGATTCATCGGCATAGGTAGCTGTCATCTTATTTGCCTCTTCCATTATTTGAGAAATTGCTTTCAGTCTGCTTAACAGTTTCCTGTACCTTGATTACTTCATCAACTTTTTCTTGCAGATTCTTTGCCTCGATTTGACTACTGTTACCAATCTTGGTTTCTACTTCTCCCACCTTTTCCTTGAGTTCTTTGATTTTCATCTCAGACTTTTCAGTATTCTCTCTCTCTCTGGTTGTGTTCCTATACAAATTATCCACAAGTTCCTTCAAATTTACGTTTTCTTCACGTATTTTCAAACATTCTGCTACCAGGCTGTCTACCTTGGCTTTAAAAGCCTCAATTCTAACTGCTGCTTCCGTTAGCTTCATTTTCCTGGTTTGAATGTTTACCCATAAAACAAAAATAGAGCTGTAATCACGGCAGTTGTCTCTATGCGCGAAAACGCTTACCATACAGTATTCGCGGTCACTTCTTGCCTCCCTCCCTTTCGCTCTTACTTCCCGGCACACAAAGCCTCACTATCTTTTTCAATTTTTCACTTATTCGTTCACTTTACAACCTAAATTATTCTTTCAACATGAACCGTACAGTTACAGAATCCATTGCCTGATCTTCTCCGTGTTTAACATGTGTGTGTGTGTGTGTCTGTGTATGTATATGGATATGTATATGTATGTCTGTATAGGGATGTATGTATGAATATTTACTCTAATATGCATAAATACCGTAATCCTTTTTTTTCTCGCGTCACACACACACACACACACACACACACACACACACACACACACACACACACACACACACACACACACACACACACACACACACACACACACACACACGTGTGTGTGTGTATGTGTTTGTATATATAAACAGTTTCCCCTTGTTTTCAGAGATAAAAATTGCTTTGGTTACCCCCCACCCCCTTCTCTCTCTTGAAATGAAAACATGAAAAAAGGAAAGACACGCTAGAAACGGCTATATCTTGCCGGGGATAGGGCGTGTCAGCTGAGCTACGCTGAGAACGCTGATCAAGGGAAAACCTAGCACGTGGTATCCCTTCGGTGATTCCAATATATATCGCTGTAGGCATAAGTGGGGGGGAAAATCACTTCATGTACATTATTTTAGTTAGATCTGTCAATTATTTGTCTGATACTGATTAGCGCCACGGGTGAGAGGTCGGGGAAACAGCGCGCCCACATGGCTCTCTGACTGCGGAGTCTGACGTTACAAGCGGAGGTGTTGCGTCGTCGTACGGGAAGGCGGTTGCCGATTAGGACATATTGGCGACGTGTGTATTTTTTCCTCGAATATGTTAACCTATAGAATCTAGAGTGATAAATATAAAATGCTGATAATCTTATTTTTCCGTTAAAGTCGGAAATTAATGACATGGAATTGGATTTTTATCTCGGTTTGTGATCGGGTGTAATGTCCGAAAATATTTTTTGCATAATATGAAATGGACAATATATGTTATTTGTGCAATAAATCAATGACTAACAATTCCTGCAATTTTCCCGCTCGGTATCAGACCGAGTAAACGCAACAGATATTGATCGACGAAACCTAAAACAACATATATGGAGGAAACAGACCGCATCCGCACTCCACATAACCCGCCAAAATTACACCAATACATATTCCTTTTTTTCGCAGATTTTCGCTTCCTAAGCAAAAATCACACTATTACATTACATATTTTTTATTATTATACCTTCATCAAGATAAAGGAAACACGTGCGACCGACCGGCACGATGTAACAGTAACTGGCAACTCGGCGTGTCTGTCTGTGCGAGTGACTCCATCGTGGCGAGAGGAAGCAGTGCCTCGTGAGAAGTGACGGTGAGAGCATAGTCCGCTTGTCGCTCTTCCTCGTCAAGTGAACTCTACGGAAGCTTATGTTTTCATA